TATTAGAATTGACTTTTAAAAAGAGAAATACCCTGAGTGTTGTGGAGTCTCAGATACTCAAACCCTGCTTGCACCGTGATCTGTGCAAAGGGGTCTGAGTTCCCCCCAGGTCTCCCAGCCCTGCTGGGGTCTCTCTCCCAGCCTGCCCAGGATTTTACCTTTTCCCTGGAGTGGGCCAGCTCTGTTTTTGTGCTCTGCACTTCCCCCTGCAGCCTCTCGTTGTCCTGCCTGAGCAGCTCCTGCTCATCCCAGGGGACGGGCCCCTGCTGCTCCTGCAGCCCTGAGGGAGGCACAGCCACTTCCAGAACCAGGTTCTTAAGACAGACAGAATTGCAGGGTTAGGCCTTCAACAAAGAAGCAGACATTTGCTCTATTCAGGTGGGTTTGAGGTGGATTTTCAGTAAGTGCAGGCTCCAAAGTTGCAGCATTCCCATCTCCCTCCCAGCCCACTCTCTGTTGTTCCTTAAGAAATCCAATGTGCAAATCCCAAGTGCTTCCCTCCACTAAAATCACGGATAATAGCTGTGTGCACAAGGAGTGCACAGAGTTCAGCAACACAAAAAAAAGCAATTTGTGCTCTCCTTAGAGCCAAGCAGAACTCAGTGTTCTATATTATGCACTAATAGCTGTAATTTAGCTCCTGTTGTACAATTCTGAAACAGCCTCTTTTCCACGTGGACATTAAATATTCCTTAATTACATGGCAAACAAGCCAAATGAGTAACTGAATTCATAACAGCAATCCCAGGACTGCTGTCTACAACCTCCTTCAGTCACAAATCCTCATTAGCTGGGAGGTTGGAGTAATTCTGTACCTTTCAAACCCAAGTTGCACTGAAAATGAGCTCCTCTGTCAATGACTGGTTTAATTTTTATAGTTGGTAGGTGTAAATTAATGCATTGTCCATAAAGTTGGGGGTTTTATTGGCAAAAGTTTTCTTTTAGGGAAAAATGGAGATTTAGGAGAGGGGGACTGATCATTGCCTGTCCACGTTCAACACTTAAAATACAATTTTTAAAAAAAACAGCTTAAAGCAACATGATATGCAATACCCAATGATTTTAGGTACCTCCTGAGATGCCTTTACCTTTTCAGTGGTGCCCTGCAGCTGTTTGTGCAGTGCCATCACTTCTTGCTCCAGACTTTCCTTCTCCTGCTGTGTCAGCTGCAGGTCGGATTTCAGCCGGGACATTTGGAGGCTGCTGCTCTGCAGAGCTTCACTCAGGCTCTGAACCTGGAAAGAGCAAAAGCACAGCTTGGCCTTTGCTGGATCAGCATTCCCTCTGTGCATCAGGTATCCCAGGGATTTAGGATCTCTGGTGGAGGGAGTGAAGTTAAAACGTTGATTTTCCCCCTCTGAAAATGTTCAATTGAGTTTATTGCTCTGTGCAAGTGCCTGACAGGAAGGTGGAGCTGAAGGGGGTCAGGCTCTGCTCCCAGGGAACAAGGGACAGCATGAGGAAACAGCCTCAAGGTGTGCCAGAGGAGGTTTAGATTGGATATTAGGGAAAATTTCCTCATGGAAAGGGATTTTGAGGCTGGCACAGCTGCCCAGGACAGTGGTGCCATCCCCACCCTGAAGGGATTTAAAAGCTGTGTGGATGTGGCACTTGGGGACATGGGGCAGTGGTGGCCTGGCCAGTGCTGAGGGAGTGACTGGACTCAATCCTATATGGATTTTCTATCCTTAGAACGCCATAATTCCAAATTATTTTCCAACTTTCTGTTCCAAGCTCGCAGCCACCCACTTTGAATAGAGCCACAATGCTGCATTCACCAGAAACATCTTCCAGCCCTGAGCATTCCCTGGGATATCCTGGAAAGAAGCTTTCCCTTGAATTGTTTCTTCTTCCTGGCAGGAATTCTTCCAACTCAACCAAGCAGGGAACCACTTGATCCCACCCCTGCCTGGGCAAGGATGAGCCTGCACCAGCACACAGGAGCAACAGCAGAGTCTCTGCAGCATTTCAGGAATCACCAGGCAGAGGGAATTGGCAAAAGTAGCTTGGCTGCAGAGAGAAAAACCCCTCCTTGTGTTTAAAAAGTTTCCTTTTGTCCTTTAAGAACTTCACTTGGAAAGCCCCTCAGGCAGCCATTCTCATCAGGAGGGGCCTTTCATGAGGAAAAGCACTACAGGAGATGATCAAACTGCTTTTATCAGGGCCAGACCATAAATCAGCGTTTCCTACCTTGTCCTGGGAGAGGCTGAGCTGTGCTTTCAGTGCCTGGCTCTGCTGCTCCCAGGATTTCTGCTCCTGCTCCAAGCTGCCAACTGCACTCTCCAGGCAGCTGACCTGAGCCACCTGCAATGAGATCACACAGGAATCCTCACTCAGCAATTTGCTTTTACCTCCATCTCACTTCAAGGGTCACCCTAGATAGAGGGAGTCAAAGCTAAGGAAGGAAAAAGCCCCTCAGCTCCCTGAATTCCCACACAATGGGATTATTATTTACAGTGAGCAGAGTGCTCTGCTCCAGTTCAGAGTTAGAGTGGGTTAGAGATGCAATAAAAGTCCAAGAACACAGAACACTGTCTTCCTTGTCCTGCTGCAGGATTTATATCCAGGCCTCTCCTCCTTGCAATGTTTGGAATTTTCTACATAATCAAATTACAGTAAAGCTGTGCTCCAGAATTGAAGCTTTCCTCTATAACACCAGCTAGGGAAAAAAAAAAAAATCAAGAAAATCCAGGCAGTGGCAACAAAGCCTTTATCTGGCTTGAGTGTGAGGGAAAAACCATCCAGAGAAGTTTTACAGCTATAGGAATTTTAACAGCCTTTTACAGCACACAGTGATGAGGATTTTCCTTTCTTACCTTCTCAATGCATCTGTTCAGTTCCTCACTCAGGGCTTCCTTCTCTTTCTGCAGCTTTTCATTTTTAGCGATCAAACTTGCAACTTCATTCTGAAGCTCAGCAAGGTCAGGGCACCTGGGCAGCTGTGGGAAATGAAACCCCTCAGAGTTGCATTTTTGTGCTGTCACAGAATTTGGCATGAAAAATCAGGGGGATACCCAAATGGTTTGGGATGGAAGGGACCTTTAAAGGTCACAAGCAGGGACACCTTCCACCATCCCAGGCTGCTCCAAAGTGTCCTTGGACACTTCCAGGCCCTCCCCACCCTCACAGGGAAGGATTTTTCCATAATATCCCATAAAAATCACCAAACACAGAGGGAAAACCAATCCTTTTCCCAAGTGCCCCAGTGCTTTATCCCTGCCTTTCCTCATTGCATCTCTGTAATTACACTCCACAATCCACTCCTTCCTCAATAGGCCTCAGCTGCTTTTGCTTTTTAAGAGCATTATCTGCCCTGAGCACTGAGTGTTTTACACCGTGCAGAAAATGACTTTGTGGAGCCCTAATCAGGGAACTGCCTCGTTTGAAGCCTTCATTATCTGTGTTTATTAGCATACATTTACAGCCAATTGAGCTGTGCTTGTACAGGAGATAACTGAGCTCTCCAGGAAATTATCCTCAGACCTTGTGAGACTCCCAGATCTCCAGATGGGTTTAGCAACAGGAATTCTGCCTGACAGGACATGCTGGAAGAGCTCACTCCTTAAATGGAGCTAAAAATGGGTTATATCTCCAGTTAACCAGGGAAATGTTCTCATGTGGATCCCATTTATCCTATCTATCCCTTAATTACAGCTTTAAATCTTTATCTTGACCAAAGCTTCCCTTTGTAGATCCACTAGTCCCAAAATCTTTTGGCAAAGTTTGAGTGAACCCAACCTTATTTGAAGAATTGTGTGTTGCACCTGGAAACTCTTTCAAGAGGAGTTATATTTCCTTTCTTTAAAGAAATCAGCTTTAAAGTTTCCATCTCTTATTTCCACCTCTTAATTTTCATCCATAAGAGATAGTGCAAATTAATGGGATAGCACTCAAATAAAATCCCAGAAGGGTTTGGGCTGGAAGGGACCTTTAAAGCCCATCAAGTTCCAATCCCTCTGGAATAAACAGAGACATTTTCCACTATCCCAGGTTGTTCCAGGGTGTCCTTGGACACTTCCAGGGATGCAGGGACAGCCACAGCTCCTCTGGACAATGGGATGCCACACCTGCTTTGTCTTCTCCAGCTCCTGCTTGAGGATGTGGTTCTCCTGCTCCAGTAGATGAGCTTGGACCTTCATTTTGGACAAATCCATCTCCAGGGATGACACCATATTTGATGACTGCAAAAAAGGAAAGGCTCAGATTTCGATTTGGGAAACTCACAGAGCAAAGTTTGAGCAGAGGGTGCTGCAGCCACTGGACGGAGCTGAGACGGCACTGGATGAACAAAATGGAAAATGCAGGGCAATATTTGGCATCACCAAGCTGGGTTTTCAAGGCAAACCTGCACATTTTTCCCTCCTGCCTTTTGGCTGCTGCTGTGTTTAGCAAAGCTCAGCTTTGAAACCCCATCCCAGGACAGGGATGCCAATCCCAAAGCCCCTGAGGCCCAGCTGTCCCACCAAATGCTGTACCTCGATTTTGGAGTTTTCCAGCTCCTCTTTCAGCAGCAGCCTCTCCTTTTCCCATTCTTCCAGGGTGCACTTCCCCTCCTCCCTCTCCTTCTGCTTGAGCACCCTTGCCAGCTGTTGGTTGAGATCCTGCACATCTGCCTGGTTCTTGGAGTTCCTCTGGCTGAGTTCTGTGTTTTCAGAGTCCAGCTGTTGGTTCCTGGTCTTCAGATCTGCCACCTGAACAGGGACAGCAGTGATTTCACACCAGGAATGAGATTTTTGGGTATTTCCTTTAAGGTGATTAAAGATCTGACAAGTCTCACTCTGACAGTGACTCCACACAAATAATTTGTCATAATTGGCCTTAATTAGAGACCAGTCATATCAGTCACCCAACACTTGGCCATGCTGGTGTGGATTTTGAGGGTTATCCTAACAGATTATTCTAAGCGAGTATTTTCCTAAGCAATGCCAAGATGGCATGGATGTTAAAGGTAATTAACCCTTTTATTTCACCCATTATAACAAGCCACACCTGAAATAAAAGTAGCAGCCACATGGATGCAACTGGTAGAATTCCTAAACCAAGCCAGCTGGGAAATGAGCAGAGGTTGAATCACAATGTCTATTTCCCATGGGCTACTGCAGAGAATTGCACAAAAATTACCAAACAAAAGATTTAAACTTTGTTTTTCTACAAAAGTTGACTGTGGAAAGTGCTCTCAAGCCTGTGAGCTGGACAATTACAGCTTTTGTGTTATGAGCAGGTCAAGTGGCCTCAAATCAATCCCAAAGTGCAATTAAACAGTTATCAAAACGTCTAAATTTATAAAATGCTCGTTTTCTGCTGCCACACACCTGCTTTTTCAGGTTGTCCACCATCTTCTGCACAGCCACTTTCTCCTTTCTCACAGCCTCTATCTTCTGCCTATGGAGAAATGAAAGCTCATTAACACTAAAATCAATTATCAGTGTACACAACTGCAAGACTGCACAGGAGGACATCACCTCAAGCTGTGGCAGAAGAGGTTTGGATTGGGTATTGGGAAGGATTTCCATCCCTGGAGGGATTTAAAATCCATGTGCATGTGGCATTTGGGGACACAGGGCAGTGGTGGCCTCAACAGTGCTGGGTTAATGGTTGGATTTGAAGATCTTGGAGGTCTTTTCCAACCTTAATGATTCCAAAAATGAGCTGTTTTTTTTAAACCCCACCAGAAATGGCAATTGTGGGTATTTATTTATTTATTGCTCAGCATCCCTGCTCTGCATGGGAAGGGCTCACCCTCTCAAGGTGCCCCAAGGGGTCTTTCCTAGAGGGGAAGAGCAATCCCAGGATCAGGGATGGTCCTGCACTTGCCAAGGGCCCAACCACTGGAATAATCTGTCAGGGGAGCCTCTCCCTGCCTGTGCTGAAGCACAAATAACTGCACCAGGTCAGCTCCTAAACCCTCTGTGTGTGTCACTGGGTCACCTCAATGCCTACAGCTAAACCCCTGCTGGCTCTGGGGATGGGCAGCGAAAAGGAGGAGGAATAACCTGACAAGCTGCTGGGTTTCCATGAAATAACCCCATTTTGGGATTTCTACCCCATT